ATATATATATATATATATGCACTGTTATGCTGGTACAAAAGAGCCACATGTAGCATATATTGCATCCATAAGTATCAGCATAAACCTACAAATAGATAAGCATGCGTGTTTGCCAGCATTTATACTTGATAAGCATGGGTTCATGCAACTAGGATCGAAATAAACTTAGAAAAATGTATAGAGCGCACCAAATTTGTCCTCTCTCCAACCACGATGATATTGCCATACTGCGCTGCATGCACAGCCCCTCCCAAGACTTCTTCTGTTTCCAGCTGTAGAGAGCACAGCAGAAGATCGCATCGACGTCTTATAAGCCTTTACTACCATAAAACGCGTGTATAATAAAGAAACAAACCCATTTATTGCATGCATGCAACGCATGCCAAACAATAAATCCACAGCCCGTCGAACAAGCAGACCCATTTTAAGAATTTCGCGGTGTTACAACTGCCTCCAACCAACTGCATGCATTCAATGCATGCATGCATGCATCCCCTCCCTCACTTGATCGTGGAGGTCGTTGAGGGCTTTAGCTCTTTCCCTGTGAATTTTCTTTCGCCACTCTGCTCTGCGCATGTCGAAGGTGTCCTAAGAGGAAAGCAAATAAAACAAATTCAAGCGAATGCATAAAAAGCCAACGAACAAACCGACCCAGTAAAGAGCGTATACATTGGCACATGGGCAACAAATACATAAACAAAACAACAAAGCAAGCAAATGAGGAAATGGATAACTACCAGATGCGCGAGAAAATATAAAGCTTCTCGCGCTCTACTTTCCCTTCCCCCTTGTCTCCTTCCTTCTCTCTGTCTCCCACTTTCTGTCGCTTTGTCCATCTCTGTCTTTCTGTTTCTGTCTGCCTGCTTCTCTTTCGTCGCTCTGTCTCTATGTTTTCAAGCTTTATTCTATTGCCTTTGTGCCTCTGTTTTCCTCTATCTGTTTGTGTTCCTGCATCTGTCTCTCCGTACACAGCAGCAATCTCCCCTTGAACCACTCAGCTGACCTGAATAACACATTTGAGTCGCTTCGAGTAATTTTTATTCTGCAGCTCCTTGAGACGACCAAACCACGAATCCAATACCACTTTCATCTTGGGGTTTTGGTCAATGAAGTACCCTAACGCAAGAAGATAAAGCAAAGACAAGGAAACAAAAAAACCAAATCTACAACTGCAGCAACGCATGCCAACGAGGGAGAAATGATAAGCAGAAAATAGCAAAGGCGCATAATGAGAACTCTTACCGAGGAACGGATGTGGATCCATTCTGAGACTGGTGCATGTACTAAGCAGCGTAAATGCGCATTCTTTATTTGGTGTATGCATGGTTATGCGTACAAATAATATGGCAAACAATATGAAAGCGGGAAGAGCCCGGAAGGGACAAATAGCAAACAGCGAGTCACACGCAGCCCACAAGAGTGCACAATCCACAACAAACTGCAACACTTGAATACGGTGGGGAAAAAGGCAAGCAAAAGGCAACAAGAAACAAGCAAACACGCAAACAAAATCATAAAACGAAGCGAACATAGAAAGAGGCCACGGCTTACCAACAGTTGCAATGAGTTGCAGGAAGCATTCGACGAGATACTCGTCGGGTTCATCACTTCTCATAACCAGTTCAACTACCACATCATTAACGATCTTGAAACCCAATAACTTTCGGTGAAATAGCTCTCCTATCAGTTTAACCACCCCCAAAACGCGACGTTTCAGCCGCACCTCCTCCTGCAGCGCTTCCTCCGCTTCTCCCTCCACTTCATGCTGTAACGCCCTAAAAAACACAAGTAAAGCAGAGGGAATCACAACACGTCTTGCAGTGGCATTTTCTATCAACAACTGCATCGTTACTATTATTAGAGCAGTCGCAGAAAGCAACGAAGACGACCGACGGCAGACAAACTCATGGCGTCCTGCTACCAGCTGTTACTGATGTTCAAATTATGGGCGCGGCAAGCATTCAATGAAGTGCTAAAAGCGTCTTAGCCGTGTACTACAAAGCCTACGCAGGCATGGCTTCGAACTCCTGCTGAATCCGCGTCAGCAAACCCAACATGAAGGGGGTCCGGCGAATCGTCTCCGGGTCTCCTTCAGGCGCCACGCTTCTCCACTGCAACAACTGTACATATATCCCAAACACACGCCCGAACACGAACGCATGCACATACACACAGGCACCTATATATATTGCACGCGCCCCAAGCACAAGGAGCGTTGCTCGGTCGGTGTGTATTAGCTCCGAAACTGTCAAAGTCCAGGATGCCCCCACTAAAGGAAAAAAGAGAGATGCTGTATGTATGTGGACTAGGCATACCACATATCCACGAAACCGTACATAATGCGCATGTACCTTGTATCCCCCAATACGAATGCGAGGCGGGAAGAGCCAACCAGGACAGCATTTAAACCAGAAACAGCATTGAAGCGACAGGGAAGGTATTTAAAACAACACAGCACGCGTAGCAACAGAAACGTTCAAACCACAGGGAGGATCATGGGGACCGACAGCAGCAGTCACCACCGGAACTACCAGACGGGCAGAAGCAGCATCTGGACCAACAAAAATGTATTTGAATCAGCGAAACCACCATTTGAATCCGCATGGATCTGCGTGTGGCCTTCTTGAACAACTTACCTGACAGAGGTCGGCGTACATCTCGGACCAGTCAGGTTCAGTGACGGCTTTGTCGATGATGGCATCAACTTGAATACGAATTTCTGCTTGGCAGTTTAAGCTTTTTTCCAGTATCTGTGCAAGTTTTTCCGCGATTACCCCAAATTTCTCTATGGTTAGTTTGTTCAACAAAGACTTCACGTTACGATTCAACTCCTCCTCCCGCGTTAACGCACGACGGGGACGCCACAGCTGAACGCCCGCTGCCACATCGGCTCCTCCTGCCGTTCCTGACGCTGCTCCCGCTGCCGCTGTTCCAGCCGCTTTGTCCCCTGCACCCTCTGGTGGACTTCCCGGGGAATTTGATAGATTGTTAACGTGTGCGGCACGGTTGCCGCTGCTGCTGCTGCTGCTGTTGCTGTTGCTGTTGCTGTCGCCCCTGCGGAATGCAGCAAACCCCCTCGGGCTCTGTTGAGCTTCCCCTCCACGGCGACCCGAAGCCGCACCTGCTCTGCTGCTGGGGCTTACAGGACCCTCTGCATGCGCTGCATGCACAGCGGGCTGCCTCAAGACGGAAAAGCTTCCACGAGAGACAGGGCCACCTACAGGAGCCGCGCTGTGGCCCTTGCGTTGCTGCTGCTGCTGCATGTTAGCACTCGCAGCGGAAGCAGGAGGTGCTGTTGCTGCGGTGTTTGGGTTGGACGTTGTAAGCTGAGGGGGTGTCCCCCTCTGCGCTGTTTTGTGGACGCCTCCCATGCGGAATGCCCCGAAGCCGCTACAAGTGTCTGAACCAAAGGAACCGTGAGATGCAGGTGCCGCCCGTCTGCTGAAGTCATTGCTTCTGTTGTTGCTGTTGCTGCTCATGAGCGGGGTGGCAGAAAAGCCTCCGCTGCTCTCGTTGCGCCTTCCCGGCGGCCGCATTTCGCTGTCTATGCCTTCCCGCCTCCACGACAGGCCCCCTCTGCAAAAACACACGGTTCTAAACAGACCAAGGTGAAGATAAGAGTCAAAAAAAGAAGGCAACAAAACCACCAGAACGAGTTTAACTCTTTGAAGACGGGACACAAAATTCAAATGGCGAATGCTAAAACGAGCAAGAACAAAAGAATCAAGCCGACAAAATAACAAAATAAAAAGGAGTGTTCCACTAAACATTAGGTTCGCCCTAATAAACTCCATTCGGGATATACACATCATGATTAATGTTAGTAATTTTCCAGCAACTACTACTATTCACAACGGAAAGGAGCCGGAACGTGGAGGACATACAGCCTGTGGCCCTCGCGGTCTGTCATCGTTAGTCCTTTAAAGCTCTGTTTGTTCTCCTTGTTGTTTGCATGCGCTTCGACCTGCACGAGAAAGTACGGAAGGCAACAAATGGGTTTAATTGGGGTCTACGCGCGGGAGGGCGGCACGAGTGGGCACCCGGAAGTGAAATATTAAGCAGGAAGAAACAACACGATTGCAGCAACGAAAAAGCATAACAGATTCCTGCAATTCAAGAGGCAGCAAATGAAAAAAAGGCAAGGGTAGCATGTAACAGTGTTGTATAAGCATGAGAAGAACGCCAAACAGCCCACAACGGTTGGTTTGGGGCGCTCTTTGGTGCAATATGGTTGGCGACGAAGTCACAAACAGAATGCAAAAAAAGAAGAGAAAGAAAAAGACTTTAAAATGCCCGTCTTTAAAAAAGAAAGGAGGTAATGATGCGGCTACAGGACGCATCCAAGCCGCGTGGCAATGATTAGCGAAGGCGCTGGAAGGCGAACTCGAGAGCGGCGCACAACTGGATCCAAATATTCCACAAAGACGAAACAACAAATGAAAAATAACAAAATATAATCCAATGGAAATTATCGGCAGATTCGCTGTTGTCAGACATTCGCTGTGAAGCAGCAATGATGAGCTGGCGGCCAGAGAACGGTTTCAGGACCTCCCCGTCAGTCGTTTCCCCTCAGGCATATGATAAAGTGTTTCTAGAACAAAGAGAATGTAAAACTCAACCCGAGAAACCAGGAGAATAAACGGGAACACGCGCAACCAAGCATCATCGCGCCTTGCCGCCTTCGAACCCACACCACGATGTGGCGGGGGAACAGGAGCTCACCGATGCAAATGCGACGAAGAACACTCTTTTAAAAGTGAAAAACTTTGAATAAAAACTTCAGAGGTCTCCAAAAAGTGCCTTAAAGTCTCATTTTGAACCATGATCAGCCACCTTGCACCGGCGCAGGTGTGACAAGCAGCAGCATGACCACACATGAAACAACAAACAGCCCGCAGCAGCCACCGCTGGTAAATCTAAATCTACTAGCTGAAAGCCGAGTCCAACTTCTATTTGCTTTAATTTCACTTACCGAAACATCACTTCAAGTATTTAACTTCCCTCCGCAGAGGCTGCTTTTTCGCTTTGGTCACGTCCTTCCACTCCGCTGACTGTAACGAGAGCCCTCGACACTAGCCGAGGACCATAGTAAGTTGCAACAGACTCAAGACACTCAAGATTACAGCTCCAAAAAACAGCGCACTCCTTCTTCAGTAGTAAGGCGTCATGAGCTCAACGACTCAAAGCCTGAGTGTGGTGCTAAAAGGAGGCGGCCTCTTACTAGTTCCTCGGCTTCCATCATACCTTGCTGCAAAACATGCTGGAAGGCAGCCCGCTGAAGTTGCACCCAGGAGCCCACCTTTTAAACATGCACCAAAACCAAAGGCAATGCTAAACATTGTCTTGGCGCTCAGGAGCCAACCTGCCTGGAAGCAGAATCGTGTGGTCCACACCACACCGACACTCCTAATAAACAGGCCAGCCCCATATCACACTAACGTGTGTCTGTGTTAATCATAGACGGTGGTAACGTCAAATGGACTACTGTAGTGTTGTTGTATAGGGGACACATTACCTTCAGGGGTGGAGATCATGCCGCTTTGATGAATCTTAATACATTTTCGGTCTCGCAGATATTGCGTATCCACAGCGTACACTGTTGGCGAGTTTAGTTTGGTCGTCTGCTTCTGGCCGAATGACAGTGGTCAGCTTATGTTCAATATACGGCTGAGTCATGGAGCCGCTCCAGATTTCGGGTCACAGTAGGGCCCTTAGAGAAATAAGAGTGCGTTGGCGAAGTATATGTTGCGGATACTGTTGGTCGACGAGCTACTCAACATCATGCATATCGCAGCCGTTACTGTTCTGGACTGATGCTATAGATTCCAGTACGCCTATATTCCAGGCATGAGGCGTAGATGGACTGCCACCCCCTTCGTGGCAATCACTGGATGTGATTGCCCTTCGTGGCAATCACTGGATGTCCTTCCTCCACATTCGCCTGTTCCATTAGACATCCACGGCTGAAGTTGAGTGAATTGCGTTAATTGGTGTAGCTGTTTATGCACAGAATAATGCTTGCGTTTTATCTCCGTTATTGTGAAAACCCTGTCTGAAGTTAGTAACTAGTAAACAAGCGGCTACCAAGCAAACGTTCTCAACAACTGTTTCGTGTTTGTACACACAGCCAATAAGACTCGTTAATTCTTGTAGACGGGGGAGTTTTCTGGTCCTTTAGTTGCACCGAGGTGCGCTGTAACTCATTGCAGGCCGCCTTCTCTCCTTGAGCACCCGGGCGCCATGGCCACCGGGCTCGAGACGCCGTAGGCTAGAGAGAAGGACTAGTTGCATATAAAGAAGGCTCATCGTCAGGATTTTGGTTCAACGTGAGCCCACAGTAGTCATCGGATAAGACGCTGCAAGCACTTAGTGATGTTTGTTATAATTAGGTCAAGTTGCCTGGCTTGCAGCCCCTATAAAACTTAGGATATCATGAAGGCTCCATATGATAAGTTTTCGACTTCACTGGGGAAATGGGAAGCTTGGAAAAACTGGAGCACAATAGGTACTGCTGTTTTGTAAGGATGCTTACACGTCCTTTTCCTGTTCAGGCCTTGCCATTCTACCATGTCAGGCGGCTCGACATCCCAGCAGAATCTACCAGTGCTAAGTGCTATTAATATCGCAGTTAATTCTCTTTGCGGAGACGAAGGCGTTGATAGTTTGAGTACTACCATCTATTGGTTCGATCACTGGCATTGTTCTGCAGTCGCTGGCTTGCAGATGGATATCAACAGCAGCATCTCTGGCACCGTTTTGTTGGAAAGGGGGGCTTGTTTGAAATGTATGTGCATTCGGTAACATTGCCGGATTGCGCAATATGACTTCGCATTCTTGCCCGCCACCGGCGTTGTTGCTAAGGAACGGTGTAACCCGGTTCCATGACCCCATCGGAGGACTACTTCGACCTGCAAAGGAGACAAAATACTCAAAATGAAGCTTGCTTACACCCAACTAACCTCCTTCCCTAGTCGCAAAGCTACCCGAGCAAGGCGACTCCAGTGCCTTGAGCGGAGGGCTGCCAAGAGTTGCAGCGCACCTTGCTGCAACTCAAAATGTAGGACAGTTCCTCATCTGAAAAAAGTAGCATGCCTTATGGGATGTACGCACAAACGCTGCACAGCTGCACGCAACCTTTGCTTGCTTCCCTCTTATATACTAGGGCCGGGTAAGGGTCTTTATGTCAAATTTAGACAGGAATGCCAGTAAGGCGCAAACTATGGTACATGCTCTCCTGACGCTCTATTGGCCAGGCACTTTGGTCCATAGCTACACTTACCTGCTGTATATCCGGATGCTCTTGCAGTATGCGACAATCCTCCTCCGTAGACGTCCATCTGCATGCGGTTATAACTGAGGTCTACAGCAAGAGGAGAATCAAGCGGTCAAGCACTAACAGCTGTCTTGTGGTAACAGGGAGACCGCAGAGTTTGCCCACTTTGTATCTTCGCCTTGTCCAGAAGTACAGAATGCACGGGCAACCACATGGCTAATAAAACAGCGAATCAGGAAACCAGGTCTTTTTGTTGGAGCAAGATGTAACAATCAGACACGGAATACTCCCTGCTTGTTTGCAGGTGAAGCACAAAACCGCTCTAAAGCTCGGTCAATCGGAGGCTTTACCCGTCCTTAGAGGTGGATGAACGGTATCTTAACGGACTTAATTGTGGCTTTGTCATCGATCAAGGGATGCAGTAGCACCGCCCTTGTTCCGGATAAACTCAACAAACATCCCAACTGTACTAGCTGTTCGAGTTTAGTTACTGTAGTGATTCTGACCAGTTATTTATTACCTTATTTTGAAAACTCAACAAATTCCGTCAACTACGCCAAACAGATGTCTTCGTATGCATCGCTCCGTTTACTACAAAGCATGAGATGACTGTAACAAAATAACAGGGGTTGAACGTCAAACTGGACTCTACAACAACGCGCTTAAGCACCAGTTTTGACTGTTGTTTCCGCTGGGTTCATCCAAATGCGTCGACTTTTGCCGTCGTCTGTAGTGGTTTCATCTCAGGACTTTCTTCCCCTGTGTCTAGACTCCCTGGTCTGCATTTTTTATGTGGCAAGACGTTCGATCTGGCTAGTTGCAGCCAATATTTGACGTCATCGGCTGCATATTTCCACAAGCAGCTCTCCGCAGCTTGGAAATGGGAGAAGAAAATGCAACAGCCCAGTGCACGACACTACGTAAAGGGATCCCTGTACTTATTCTTGGCCTAGTCTACTTAATGCTTCTGGACTAACGTAATCTTTGAATTGCGCAGCAGAGCGAACACGTCGCCTACTTTAGCCATGCGTTGTGTAGGGCAGCAAGAGCAAATGTGTTTCAAGGAGTAATGGGAGGCAAGTAGTAATTTCATTACAAGCGTCACAAAACATGGAGTCCATCGCAAATTGGAACACTAAGCTAAATAGCCAAGAAATCGACAAACAGGTATTGGATTAGAGGATCGTTTGCGTGAAGCGATTCCTTAGAAAATTCTAGCTACCCTCGTCACTAGCCGGCAGCGTCTACAGGATTGAGTGCTCACCGTCGTAACCGAGTAAAGTCATGTTGCCTACAACTATTTCTTGATAGATATCTGTTTTGCCGTTCGTATGAAGAAATTCGTATCGTTCTACCTACCTGCCCTTTGGTGCCATATATCTCACCGCTGCTATTCATACCCTTTCCTGGGTGCAAGCATTTGCAGCTGCACCTCTGTGCGCTGTAGCCACAAGAATGCGACTCTATTCGTGCTTGTATACGTATTCGCATGGAAGTGTATGTACGCGTATAGGCATATCTTGCTGAGACGAACCAAAAAACGATACACCTGGCGGAACAGAAAAAGCAAGCACCACAAACTGCGTGGAGGTGCTTAACGGATGGAAACTGCTGCGGCAGCCTTTGGTACAACAGGTGAGTCACGTGCTGCATCCTCAGCCGCAGAAGACTTTCGCACCTTCGTGGCACTTGGTCCAATCGCTTGTTGAGCAGGCAAACAATTGTAAATTGTATAGGCGTAGCCGCGCGTGATTGCACAGCATCCCCAACAGCACGCAGAAGCAGTAGCGGCAGATGGCTCTGTCCTTCTCTAATATTTTCCCAGGACAACAGATGTATGCACTGGCGACGAATGAAGTTAGTTCTATTCAAAATTTTCCTCTTCGCCCTTCTTGTTTGCTGCTCTGACCTCACTGTGGAGCCCCTTTCCTCCCATTGGTCCACAAATTCATAGTTGGGCACATAGGAACGGTAGACAGTATGTTGTTAAGAGTGACTCATGTGTAGCAATACTTTGCTGAAATTTACACATAATCTTTCTACTACGTTGCACTGGAATGAATTCCACGTAGGTGTTCAACAGCTGTCTACATTGCTAGCGGGCGTGGAACAATGTTATACTTGCATGTGAGGTGGTATTCGAGCAGCAGTTGCGGCAAGTTGTGTTTCAACCCACGGCGATTTGCTCCGTCTCCCCCCCAACTCCACGGTCTTGCGTGATTGCTCTCATGATGCCAGGAGGCGGCAGGGATTCCCAGTTGATGCAGGGGCGTTTGCCTCGATTACTCTGCTGCACTTCACGATGGTCTTTGGTTACGATGGGAGAATCTCGTTGCGGATGTCTTTACACACACTGGTTGTGAATAAGTCTGTGATGTTCAGTTATGGGAAAACAACATGCTGATAATCGCTGGAGTGAATCGGGTTGATGCCAAAAGACGTGATAAAGGGGAGGGCGAGGCGGGGTCTCCCTAGATGACCGAGGGTCCATATTCTAGAGTAGCTCTGAAGAAGAGACCCAGGAATGAAATTTACTGGAACGCTCCCCGTCTTAGGAACGGCACGGAGTAGCTGAGGACACGTACCACACGCCACACCCACAGGCGCTCTAGCCTTCCCTGCTGGAGGATAATTCTTTTAATGTTTTAGCACACAATAAATTCCATTTTCACGATTACTATGCACTTATCCAAGTACATTTGTCTTATAGATGTCCTCTGACCTATCAGGGGCCCCTTCGCTGTTCCTACACTGCACGTTGTCGGTAAGGCAAACTGGATGGTCTGTTGGGCTACACACAAATTTCGTCTCCTTATGGGTTGAAACGTGTTGCACTGATGGCATGAAACAGATGTAACAATATAAATAAAGCTTCTGTAAACGTGCTTTCGTCTTGTAGAACGCTGCGTTCTCCGGCTGGGGCTCTCGCGCTGTCTGCCGCTGCAGCAGCTCCAGTGTCCGTGGTGGCGGTGGCTGTGAAAGTTGTATCCCGTTGAACAGTTATTTTGCCGTTACAAAGTTGCACACGAAGTGTTGCAAGAAAGTGAGATGTGTGCCTAGGCTGCCTTAAAGGGAGCAGCAAAACACCCCCGAAAACTGCCACCTCTGGATATACCGCCGGTTTTTTCGAGTATGTTGTTGCCACACACTTCAACTACCCGCCTTCTGTCGCGGTTGTCTCTATTGCGGCCTCGCGCTTCACTTTCTTCTCTTTCTCCATCTCGCCTTTCCTCTTCTTCGTGGGAATCAGGTAAAACCATTAAACGCCACTTCGCTCATGGGGCTGGTACGGACCTCACTGTCGCCTGCCGTACATCCACAAAGCCGAGACGCGATGACGGACCTACCACTCGCATGAACCTCTTCACTGCCATCAATTCGGCTATGCACATTGCTTTGGAAACCGATCCCACGTACGTGCCTATAGCCTCTCTCCCATCCCCCTGTATTTTCTTCGAGGCCCATGAGGCCCCAGCCGGTGGGCTTTCAGCCTAAGTCACGTCCATTGAGTCTCGGCTGTTGTTAACATGCCTTTCATATAATTCTGGTTGCACAGGCGTCGCCCGACGCAAGACTAGCCCTGTTGCCAATTTAGGCAGCCGATACGGCAGGCAATTGGAGCAGCAGCTGCTGCTGCTGCCTCAACAGGGAGTTGGTGGGAATTTTCATCTGGGTTAATGGTTGTGTTGCGTTCAGTGCATGTGTTTTCGGGGAGGATGTGGCATTTGGCGGCGTTTTCCGATGCTCTGTGGACTTGAGGGACAAATTTGGGCCACAAAGAGTCTTCAATACTCCTCTATCCGAACAGGTGACGCGAAAGCCCTCGAAGCCAATTCCTTTACCTTTAGCGAGCCTCAAATGTGCTGCTACTGTTCTCGTGTTGAAACGCAAAGGGAAGCCGCCTTCGATTTTCCTGTTGTTCTGTTTCGCCGTCGCCCTCCCTGTTGGTAAATGGCAGTGCTTTGCTTATTTATGAGGTTAGGGTTTATGGGTTGTTTATTTCCGCTAAGGTTTATTTGGGTGCACACATAGCTTGTGGCATACATGTACATTAGGCTTTGAATGGTGGAGACTCGTTCATTTCTCTTGTCCGTTGTGCTTATTCGTTTTGAGTTGAACATGGATGACTGCGGAGTGCTGATGCTCCCGGCATGCATCGGCTTCCCCCCTGCCTCCGTTCATCGGGTGGATGTGTTCCCATTCAGTGTACTTGAGCTGCATTTTGTGGCACTGGCAATTATTTCAGCACATGGTGTTTCGTAGTACAGTTGCTTCCCTGAGGTAAAAAGGTATTCAAGAGCCGGTACTCTTGTATACCGCGTTATATCAGAGGCTTGGTTAGGGTGGATGGGCATATTTGAATTCGTCCGTTTTTGTTAGTCTGCCTTTCGCTTTGTTTAGGTCGTGTCTCTCCTTGCTTGTCGAATTGTTTTCCTTTCTTCCTGTCGTCAGTTGCGTCTGTTTCTGCGGTTTGCCCTCACTTCACCGTTCCCTTACATCCCGCTAGTCTGTTCGCTTATAACTTCACGAGTGTCTTCTCAATTTTATCTTTTTTTCTGAAGGGAATTGCCGGCATGGCTGTTGGAATGGCCGCTGTGGGCTACACGGCAATAGCAGAAATCCAGTTTGGGGATTATATTTTCCCCGCCTTTGACCAGGTGAGAGAACGACAGAGCTGTTAGTCTGCATTTTTTGTCTGCATCCCGGCTCTCTTTAAGTTGTCGTCTATTTCATCGTGAGCTGGGGAGGCGGATTATGTTTTGTACTTCCGTCTTAAAGCAGGGGCGATATCGGAGTTCTTAGGCGTTATGTGACAACGAAAACTCACGTTCTGCTTGACGCATCTGGATTCAATTGATACGCTGCCAACTAAAGTGAACTGAATGTCATTTGTGTAGATGTGGAAAGACACGTTTCTTGGGCTTTTTAGTTCATTGTGGCACTCCGTCTACCGTGCTTCTCGAATAAATAAGTGCACCTACCCTCTAGTTTCATTCTGCGCACAGTTAGTTGGTTTGTTTTGGTCGTTTTTATAAACTCCAAACGACCCAAAACATGAGCTAATTAATAGCAGAATATCCATCTGACTGGATTACTGTTACTGGTGTCATTATTGCTACAACTTTTTGTACTTTAGAAAGTCGATGGGTACGGCAGGTGGAAAGCCTCCATGCAGCTACGTTGGGGAGTCTTTCATTCATTCCGTTCCTTTTGACTCTGTGCAGCAGTCTACTCTCTCTTCTTTTGTTTTTTTACTTACTTGCAGATTGTCAACGAAGCCGCGAAATTCCGCTACCGCAGCGGTAACAACTGGAACTGCGGCAAGCTTACTTTCCGTTCTTCGTGGGGTGCCGTCGGTCATGGGGGGTTGTACCACTCGCAGTCTCCTGAGGCTTACTTCGCTCACGCTGCAGGCCTTAAGGTTGGTTCCTCAATAGACGAATCTACGCTGTATAGTGCATTAGTGCACCCTTCGCCGTATGGTAGTACTACTCACAGTTTCCTGTAGCTCACTGTGTTCAAGTTGCAGGCGGCTTGCCTGGAATGTCGAGTTGATGCCATCAGAAGTGTCTTTATTTATGAGGCATTTCGTGGTCTCAAGAATTTTCATGTTATATAAGAAACACTTAGATTAAAGCACAGAAATGCTTCAATTTGATTAATCAGCAGTACTAGGGTCATGCTCGTTCTAACGATTATCGTACTTTTCCTCTTGCACAAAGTAGCTCAAGCGTGTTCAGCTGCATTGTATGAATAGTGCTTTCAACATATGAGTTGATTCCAATACTTACAGAAATGGATGAATGCATCTCAGTGCAGCGTCGGGTTTTGGCCTTATGCCTGGAGGTCCGGCTTTTGTGACTCCAATAAATGCATGAAAAGGCAATCGTTGCAGCAAGAAGATACCATAGAAGGAGCAGAGAGACAAATGCAGCCTGTGTATAGCCCAAACCGAGCGGGATTTGTTCCAATGACCCCGCAAACATCATTCTTTGAACTGCATCTTCCGGAGGGGACAGGTGTGTTTGCTTGCAGATTGTCATTCCCAGGGGCCCCTACCAAGCGAAGGGGCTGCTACTGAGCTGCATAAGAGATGAGAACCCTTGCCTCTTCTTCGAGCCCAAAGCCCTCTACAGAGTTGCAACTGATGAAGTGCCTACTGGAGATTATATGCTGAACTTGTCCGAGGCAGATATTCTTAAGGAGGGAACCGATGTAAGTTAAATGCCTTCTTGCTTTGTTTTCGCAGTTGACTCTCCGTGCAGTAACCTGCGTAGGGGAGCCTTTAGCCGCCTCTTGGTATAGCACCTTGCATAAATGCGTGTGTAGGCGGAGCATGTTCAGCCATGTTGGAGTTTGGATTGTCTGTTTTGCCCCGTGGTTTACGCGCCATTTTCAGTCTCTTAGCGCTGAGCAGCTAACGCTGCTCTTCATTGGATGGGTTTTGAGGGACTTCGATGCTCTTTTGGGTGGGATACCTGCTGGCTTCTCTGACGTATGCGTGTCTTGTCCGTTCTGGGTATGTAAGTTGTGCTGTTGTATTGAATTTGGGTTGCTCATCTTTTGGAGGTTGATGATCTGCCATGCGTATAGCGTAAAAGCTTTTGAGACCGCCGGTGGCGAGTGTTTTTGGTGGAGCTTGATTGCATCGTCATTATTACACTGATATAACGCTGGAGTATCACATTGTATTATATTGTTAGTGTATTCTTTTACATCATGCGCAGTGCGCTGTTTTCCTTATTAAAGCACTGTAGCAGCAGCCTTTGTGCAACGTAGCTTTGCCATTTGCAGCGTCAAGGCGAACACGCTGCACCTAAGCAAGGGAGGCTGTTCTTGCCTGTATTTGAGGTGAACGGACAAGCTTGTTTATTTTCGTCTCAAGCTGACAGGCTGTTGTTCTTGAATGCACTGAATTTGTTCTGGTTCCTGGCGTTGCGCCGTGCAGGTCACGGCAGTAGCCTGGGGCACGCAGGTTCACCGTGTGCTACGAGCAGCCGAAATGGCAGAGAAGGAGGGCATCAGTGTAGAGGTCATTGATTTGCAGACAATTGTTCCGTGGGACGTAGAAACGGTGGTGAAGTCGGTACAGAAGACAGGACGCCTGCTTGTCTCTCATGAGGCCCAGCAAACCATGGGCTTTGCAGCTGAAATAGCTGCTGCTGTTCAGGAGAAATGCTTCTTCAAATTGGAGGCCCCGATCAAGCGCGTCACCGGCTATGACACCCCTTTCCCTCTGGCTTACGAACCGGTGAGTAACGCAGCAGCTCCAGCAGCAAGAAGCCCAATCTCGAAGCAGGCTGACTGCCTTCTACCTTCGTCTGCATATGTTTGGGTTCCCCATGTAGTTTTTTTATATGCTTGTGTTTCGTTGTTAGAGTTTTGCGTTGCGGTGTGTGTGTGTGTGTGTGAGGGGGGAGGGGGGGGGAGGGGCCCGCTCGCTGTTTCCGATGCACTTTCTCCATTTCCTGCGCGGAGGGTCGTTTCTTCCTATTTGTTGCGTGTGCTGTTTTGCCGCGCTTCTTTGTCAATGCCTATTATTACATGAAGCTTCACTTTGACGCGTTTCATTGTTCGGGAGGACAACATAATTCATTCTACTTAATTTACTTTAGTCCGACAGAGTTTCCTCTGCCTCCTGTGTTTCCGTTTCATTCTACTTGTTTGCCCTTGCCTGCTCTGCTTTCATTCATCTAATACAGCCCCATTTTAATCTTGGGTATTGCCTATAAGTCATGCTTTGTGTCCCTGCAATGCTTCCATAGTCTCCTCAAGAGTTTGTTTGGTGTTGGGGGATCTGGAGTTCGAACTCCGTATTGTCTAAACATCTTATTCCTCTGTGGATTCGGGGAAAAGTTGAAAATAACGTGAATCTTCAGCTTGTGCTTGTGTATAGTGCAAGGTTTTTATGTATTAGTAAGTGCAGTGGAGTATTTTCCCGTAATGGGTGTGTAGTCCAGCCAGTGCTCTGAATCAGTGCATGTCCAGCGGTACGACGTCTACTGTGGTATTACGGCTGTTAGTAATTGCGAACTCGATGGACGTATGTTTCAGTGCAGCATGTTGCTCTGAACCTTTCTGCTTTTAGTGTGAAAGTCCAGTTCTACTGTCGAAGACGTTTGCCTTCACATCTGTCGTATACCAGGCGGTTCGTTTATCTCCTCACGGCGACGTACGGTTTTTGGTGTGTCAGTTCTGATCTTTTTCAGCTTCTTCTGTTGTTTGATTACTGTTTTGCAGTTCTACTTGCCAGATGAATTCAAATTGTTGGATGCAATGAAGGAGTTGAAGTCGCATTGAGCGAACTAACATCGCACATCACCCCGTCTTTCTCTGTCCCGACCAGTCGCTACCTCGCCTGACTCGTCGGATATTTGGATAGGGTTGTTGTCTGCCGTTTTCGGGTGCGTCTTACCTTGCAAACCAGATGCATTCAAGTTATGGCTGGTCTGCTATCCGAAGCCTTCTTTGCCAGGGACAGACGACGTAGAGCTCATCACAGCGCCCAGAAGGCAGTGGCGGCCAACAGCAAATATTAATTACCACATATGTATGTGCATAGTCAATATGCAAGACGGTATACACTATATATATAATGATCGAATGCATGCAGGCTTATGCATGCATTCCATTACACTAATCTGTACCCCGTCGTGGGCAGCCTTGGTCCTCCGGTTGCAATGCTGAGGTGCTTGGGCACTCTTGTTGTGGGCTGCGCTGGAAGGCCTGAGGAGGCACAGAGGAGATAAGCTGCATGTATCCCTCCCACTCGTTCTTCCGTCCTTCCCCCCCCGTGATGTGCAGGTTGTTGCCGTTGTCATCAATGCATGCACTGGTGCAGCATTATCAGTAGCAGTTGATATATATATATATATATATATATATATATATATATATATATGGCCGCAAGCACACCTGCGGAGCTGCTTACACCCAAGGTGGCCCATCTCGACGGGGGTCTCGCATTTGCTCTTTTTTTTTATCCCCAGCGGAGACTGGTTCACATGAAGTACCCTTGCAAGTAACAACAATTACGGCACAGTTCCAGAGTAGCCACTGGGTGCCTTACCATCGATACTGAGACTTACAAATGCATTCTACTGTAGTGTTCAAGGTTCTGTACCAATAAGAGGCAAAATGAAAGAAAAGCAGCTTAAGGAACACAACGTTGCAGTGGGTAGGATTGCCGCAGCCGATCATCCCTGCACATACGCAGTCTGGTACAGCGGGAACCCTAGGGAGTCACCCGCACCATAGTGCACAGCAACGGAATCAGGATAGTATGGAGCAGTGCTTCCCGAACAGCTTCAACACTAGATCATTGGCGCGGGAAGAATTGTACGGCGGAGGAACGTCTCATGGAGAGCGTACAGCTACGCGAGGGGGGGCGGTGCTGTGCTGTGAATAGAAACATACGATGTAACCATGGGAAAATCAAAATTGGCATCTCTGGGGGTGTTCCCAGTCGTTAAAGCCGTGCCAGTACTCCGCGAATACAGAACTTGGGCTAGCCACGGGGTTGTTGGCGGGCAATTTCCGCGAGTGACGGCATGAATGCGAAGATTACAAAGCTAACAAATATTACAACTTGGAATTGTCAAACGATACAGCGGTTAAAGACCCGCTGAGTAGAGTGTACATGCAGGTAAGTCGGTTGCGTCGCCGTCAGGCTGAGTGAAGGCTGCAGTAGCCTTTTCGTGAAGTCGTCCTGTGAAGGTAATGTGTTGTACCCTGTTCAATATTGTGAAATCAATCCTTTTAAAAGCTATTTGTATTTTGGTTTCATGGGGGATCGCTGTAGCAGAAACCCTAGGACCACTTTGCAGCGATTCTTCTGTGCGGCTCCTGTGTCGTTCCAGCTGCATGTTGTTGTTTCAGGACCTTTGTTTGGGTTTCGCCGCTCTCCCGTGTAACTGCTGAGTTTCTCTTCTCCTAAAACTTTTTGTTTGACTTTATCTTTGCTTTCTCTCACCATTTCTACTAAACTTTGGCAGCTTTCACCAACGCCCGACCCCCCCATCCCCCCCATCCCCC